CACGTCGACCGGGACATTTTTTCTCACCGTTTTGTAAAATGGATTTCTTTACTTGTATCCCTCAATTGCTGGGTGTATTGCTTTTAACTTAATAGTTTAACATGTAAATGAAGCATTCAGTACAGGAAAAGGTCACATATTAGCATTTCTATAGGATAAATTTAGAACAGAAGACGAGTCCAAAAAATAACAAAAAATAGTTAAAAGCTAACTTTTGCGTATATTGATGGGGTTTGTCAAAAAAATAATCAAATTATACTCAAAATTTTAGTTTAGCTCAGGATCCAACTAATTAAAAACTAATATGGCGGCAAAATCATGTGGAAATATGTTTTTTTCAAGTTTCAAGTTTTTTGGCTTGGTGGAATTTTTGGTGGAAGTGCCCACATAATTATTTAACTTGAAAATATTTGAAGCAAGTCCGAAAATATTAGACTCATTGGTAGTCTTATTACTTAACATATTTTACGTCATAAACAATTTATTTCATATTTGGATTTCTTTGGATTTATTATATTTTTTTTTATCAGAGTATCAGAGTTATCATATAAATCAATCATTATGGTCCCATAAAATAGGCAAAGACAGATTTTGTAGCAGTTTCGAAATTGTTGTTAGAAATTTAACAAATAACATACACATAGTATCACTTTTCAGTAAACATTGCAAACACAAGAGTAAATAAATATTCATGGCCTTGTTTGCCACTGTTCACTTAACACCCATCTTAAACATAAGATGTAAGATGTTTTTGTTTGTAAGCCGCAGGCGCTTTGTTTTTATTAAAAGGTGTCGCTTTCCAAATAAAATGAACTTAAATTGCAGTAATTACCAGAAATATTTTTGCATTTCTTTAATCATTTCAAGAAGCGACGGGAGCTGCAATGGAAGCTCCCGAGGTAAACCACTTGCTACTTGTACATACATATATGCGCGTCCATATGCGAAATGTGCGAATATATTAAAGCGCATATTTATTTACCTGAATGGATGACCAACGATTACAAGAATCCCAGTTGGAGGGCCAGAGCAGACCAAACCGATGCTTTTGCGTTTGCAGCTGCAAGTGCAACATTTCACTGTCACTTATGCATGTCCGCTTGTCATTTAAGCACAGCTTGACTCGGGTCCATACATATATATAAATATACATATATATGTTCGCATGTGAATGTTCAGCGTTCGGATATATGTTGTTTTATTAACGACAGGCAGAGGGCTGAAGTTCCTCCCCTTCTGCTGATGGGTCCAGTGAATTAAATTGTAAAGATTTCTCTTGCATTCAATGAGATTTTTGTGTTTTTTTCGCCGTCGGATGGCTTTCCTTTTGATTTTTTGATACACCTCAGCCTTGCCCCCATTCAGTGTAGCAATTTAAATTAATTCCCCAGCAGATTATCGCCATTACACCGACTTAATGTACACAGCAAATTAACGATGTGCCAAGACAATGCAGTAAGTTGCGAGTCACTCTGGAATCCTTCGAATGCAATAAGTGCGAATTCATGTGAGGCATTTCTTAAATTCCGTCGTTGCAATTAACCCATTCACGGCCAAATTAAAGTGATTGCATCGAAAAGGGATTTCCAACCAGCACTGATTATTAAGAGCAGTTAACATTTTTTTTAAAATAAATTGTTTGCTAATTTTGTTTGACAAAGAGGTAAAATGGTATTTTATTTTAAATAGTAGCTACACCTTTCTGATAGTGTCTCAAATTTAGGAATGCAACTTAAAGGGTTAATTTGCTTCTCTCTCATGCCACTACAATTTCAAATGTATTTATTTGTCTATTTAACTAATTAGATTTGAGGCTCCGGCAATTTTCAGGGGGGGACTATTAATAATTGCATTTTTCATTTACCCCAAAACGGAGCACTATTTAAATATTCAACAAGTAAAAAATTAGATGGGTACTTTGCCCAGAACGCAGCTGTTTAGACTTTTTAAGCTCCGGTAAGTCAGACCAAATAAATCTCACGGATTCACCCTCGGCCATTTAGCAGATACGTCGATGTGCTGGGAAAGCTTTCATTAAACTGACAACTCTGGGAGAAACAAAGCGCGAAACTTGGCTGGCATTGCGTAATTGACTTGCTGCTGGACCCCAGAACCTCGATCCAAGTGGGAATGGCTGATGGGAGTGCTAAAAGTTACGTCCGTGTCATAGTTTTATTTGTGCCCGCCCCTCCAAGTCGAAAGATGCCTTCAACTTGTGGCTTCGGTGCGCTTCCTCCTTGACTTTGAATACCCTTGACAAGGTATTTTATCTTTGTTCATTTCGTTGATTTTGTGTAGCATTATTCTACGTTTGAAATATTTAATTTTTTAATTTATCCTAGTAATTTTTTAAGTTTATTCATTTAAAACTCCTTTTTTTTTAAATGATAAAGGGTTCTGCTTAACTATTTAAATATTATTAGGTTGCCTTTACAATAAAATTTATTAGCTAATTTATTATTATTAAGTTACAGTACCAGCTTTAGTAAAGCATAAATAGCATAAATACACCTTTTCCTGCTAGAGTATTCAACATTTCAGTCCCCCCTGTAATCCCTCCTTTTCCGTTTTTTTTATTCTATTTCGAGGACTTTTTTCGGCGCTTACTTACGATAACTTTATGACGCTTATCGCTACAAATGTGCTTGTATCTGGGCGCTCTCTTCGTATCTCAGTATCTGTATCTTTATTTGGCCAGCGAGTACATTCCGAGCGCGCCACATAAAAGTAAAGTGTAGCCAAGTTGATGCCATCGGGGAGCTGCCAAAGTGGGTGGCTTCGTCAGAGTTCTGGGTACAGGAGCAGGAGAAGGAAACCAGCTTTACTTCTAAGTAACTTATGCCATAATTTCACCCGATTCCACAGCCCGGCGAAGCCCAAAAACGCTGGCCACTCTGCCAGGGAATCGTAATCGCAAAAAGGAGTCGTCTGCCAAATATTATTTTTTATATTTATTCGACTTTTTTCGCCCTTGCTGCTTAATGTTTATTATGAATGTTACTCGTGAGCGTATTTAGTTAATTTTATTTCACACAAGAGAAGTCAGAAAAAGGCCACCGAATCCGCCGGAATGTTTGCCAGTCTTTTTATCCGCATTTCTTCCCTTCCCGGACTCGAGTCGAGTCGAGTGCCGGCTGAAAATTAAGTTAACGCCATCAACGCATCGCCAGTGTCTCAGTGGGGTCTACGAGTCTATGAGTCTGCATCTGCGGCTGGGCAAATTAGAAGCCAGTAAACATGGCGAAAAAGGCAGGCGCTTATCTGCGTTAAGTAGATGAGAAAAGTTTGTGGCTCGGCGCGTTGATAAGTTGAATTACAAGAGCACATATTTCTTTCATGGCAGTCCTGAACCGTGAACCCATCCCCCAACTCGCCTATTTTCTCGTAACCCCCTCGATAAAACTCCCACTCCCGGGAAACGTCTCCCAATTGGTAGATAGACACACATTACCTCGGGCGAACCGGCATATGCATTAATTTGTTTATACTCGCTGAGCTTTGGCTTTGTTAACAAGAAGAACTTCTAAGCACAGCTCAATCTGCTTTTATGCACCCCCTCTTTCACTGAAAAACAAAGACTTCGCTAAATAAATTTCAATTTCTTCGAAAGTTATTTGAAAGTCCCAAGATTTCGATTTTTTAGACGTGCAAAACAAGGGGTGAAACATTTTAAAAAGTAAAACGCTTCATACAAATTTTATTTTAATTTGCATTTTAAAATTTTTTTTATTTTTATTTTTAAAACGTTTTTATATGAAAACGGCACCTAAAACGTTGTATAATTTTCCCTGTGAAACTAATATCAAAATAATATAAAGTTTTTAAATGAGTTCTTTGAAAGCATTAAAACTGAGAGACCAGTTTGCGTAGAAACGGACGGACGGACGGACAGACGGACAGAGATAGATCGAACAGGAAACTTCTACTTCACTGCGTTTCAAAATTCTGACTGACCATCTGCAAGGGTATATAATAAATAATTAAAATCAGGGACCGTAAGGCTCAGATGACACGTTCAATTTTTAGCCCCAATTTATTGTGACAATTTTTCATTTCTGTGAGTTAAATAAGTGCAAGCGAGTTAGGATTAATATGATATTGCGCCTCCATAATTGGTGTTATTGGTAGAGCAGTCAAAAATATTTGATTCTCTCTCGCGCTCGTTTGAAGTCCCATTAAAGAAAAATTGCTACAATAAATTGACGTTAAAAATTGAATGTGTCATCTGAGCCTAAATAACAGTTATTTGAGATTTTTATTTTAAAAAGTATACTGTGATATTTTGTTTTAAACGTCAAAAATAACGTTCTTTTTACTCTTGTCCACAAAGTATATGCATGTCAACAAATCTGGAAAGCAAATTAACTGTTATTTGTTCATGTCTATAAAGTGCATAAAAATCAGTTAAATTGTTAATTAAAACTTGTACAAATCTCAGTAGGCCTTTTAAAATAAAAATCACAAATAACTGTTATTTACGGTCCCTGAATAAAATATTTGATATGTTATGTTATTATTCAGACATGCAGTTCACATTACGCAAAGAAGAGAATATTACCTTTAGTTTACTATTTAATTTTTTCAAATCGAAATCGAGCAATTAATTAATTAATTGTTCTTTCTCTCCAAAATAAGTATAGGAAACGATTTCTTTTAGTGCATACTCCCCCTTTAATGGCTCAGTAGCCCAGTGTCAGCGACATTGGCTGGGGAGTCTGAACGCCAGGAGTAGCCGAGGAAACAGCATTAAATTGGCGACACTGTTGCCCAAATCTGCGCTGCTTAAATGCAAACTGCCCAACTTTGTTGCATTGGCAGTGCACTCGCAATGACCTTCGGATGAGGTGTGGCCCCCGGAACTGTGGGCGTGGCCCAAAGGCAAACACGTCGCCAGCGACTTAATTAGATCCCAGTTTATGCCAGCGCGGCACTTTATGGCAAAGGTTTAAAGTGACCATTAGGTCGAACGACGCTCCAAGCCCTCGAGATAGGGACCCTGCTGCCGGCTAAACGGACCCTTTAATGCTTTGAAAATATACTCAGAGTACAATGTTATGCAATTATTGGTGGTGAAAACATCTAGGGCGTTTTGTTCTTTTGCAGGTAGAAAAAACGATTGCCAGGACCCGGCAGAAAGACGGACTCGCGGAACTGCTCCAGATCGAACTTGTTGGCCTCGTAGACAAAGGGCTGTGGCTTGGCCGTCGAGGGGCTGGGAGATTCCTTCGGCGCCTCTTCGACAGTCACTTCGGGTACTGCTGGTTGGTTCCAGCGCGCCAGAAGAGCCCAGATATCCCGCTCCTCCTCCACCTCCTTCTTTTCCTCCACCACCTCGGGAATGGACTCCACACTGGAGCTCGAGAACTTGGGGCGAACTTCCTGGCACGCCTTGCGCCTCGCGAAATCCTTCTCGATCCGCTGGACAATCGGATGGCGTCGCTCCTTGACCACCGCACACAGATTCTCGCCGTGGTGAAAGTTCTCCAGTATATAGTTATTACGACGCACAATCACGTCCACCTCGAACTCCTGATCCTCGGTCAGATCACACTCCCGCAAGTCCACGTACAAGACCTTGAGGTAAAGATGCTAGTATTATCTTAAGTATTACTTTGGCAACTTTATGGTAACCCAAAGAATGAGGTTGGTGACCTAACAGCGACATGCAAATTTATCAAATTTACCATTGGTTTTTTGCAGCGTATTTCTAGCAACCGAACTTGTGTATTAAATTAACTTGAATTGAATTAGTAAAATGTATAAGTGTAGCTTAGTTCTATGATTTATCCAATTAAAATTTAATTAATTTATGTTTGTTCTTAGTGCTTGCAACTCTAAAAGAGTCCAATACTTACCCGGGTGTTTTTCTCCAGAGACCTCAGTATTTGATTTCCTTGGGAGTTGCCTATGTTGATGGCGGCCATTTCGAGGCTGATCAGAGGTGTGTGACTGCGCAGCAGGGTGCCTATGTCACGGGCAAATAGTCCCTGGGTAGTGTCGACCCCCGAGATGTTGAGGGCCATCACATGCGGGGTGCCGATGATGCTTGTGATGAGCGAGTGCAGGGCCAGTTCGTTGAGCGGATTGTGGGCCAGGCCCAGGTACTCCAGAACCCCTTCCTGGGACTGGCTCAAGGCCTCGCCCAGCACCAGGGCAGAATTGGAGCCCAGTCGATTGTACTCCAGCTGCATAATGCGGTACATCCTTGGGCGCTTCAGCAAATAGGACAGCCCTTCGCTGCACTCATCCGTCATATGGGCGTAGCCGAAATCCACCTCTTCCAGAGAATCCAAGGTCTGCAGAGCGCGGGCCAGGATGCGAAACTTTTTTAGATTCAAGCGGCTGTTTCGCAGCTTGAAGGTCTGCAGGTTCGGTAGGCAGCGTAAGCCTCTGCTCAGACGCACCATATCACCGTCTGAGAACTTCAAATATCGGCTGCAAGATGGGGATAAAATATAATGGAAAATTTTAAATATTTAAGTCAAAAGCTGGTGGCGCCTCTAGCTACATGTACCTACTTCTAACTATAATTTTAGTACTGGTCTTACCTTTGATAGTCCTTCACATCCGGTGGTCCCAAAAACTCCAGTGTGAACGACGTCATATTGCCGAAAAAGCGCACAAATCCCAGGTCGATATGATGGCAGTGAATATCCGGATAGTCATAGCGCTTGATGCGCTCCAGCATCAGCTGCTTGTTGCGCTTGTCAGGCTTTGTGTCCTCATCATCGGCAACTTCTGGCGCAACATTGATACTAAACACGTCTTGTATGGGCGGCTCCTTCTTTTTCTTTTTCTTCTTGGCCAACCGATCCGGGTTCTTCAAGGCGATCAGTTTCTCCTGGCGCCGCTTCTTGCGCTCCACGCGATCTGCCCGTTTCCTGGCGATGGCATCCCGAGCCAGCTGGCGGTTGGCATTGCGCTGACGTCGCGCATTCTTACGGATCGTGTCCTCGTCCTCGGATTCCGCATGCCAGAAAGTGATGGCGGCCTCGCTACTTGAACTAGACTCCTGCTCCTCCTCGCCCTCGTCATCGATTCCCAGATCCGTATCGGGTTCATCGCTGGAAATATCCTCCTCGTCGGAAGACTCGGAGGTTATATCTTCCTCGGGTTCGCTCTCGAGGTACTTAGAAAAGGCGTAGTCAGGCATCGCCTGCAGCTTACGGACGTGCATTGAGTTCACGTACTCCCAAACCTTCTCAGCCAATTGAGCCAGCTTCTTCTCGGGCTTCACGTTCACGGGACAGGACTCCACCTGCTCCACAAATTTTCTGCTCACGCCCTCAGACTTCCAGTCGAACTCGTTCCAGCGCTTCAGGTGCAACGTCTTGTCCAGCGTCTTGCTCAGCACCACGCGTCGCCAAAAGCGCTGGTCGTCGATCAAATAGCATTCCCTTTAATTAAATTTATTACTATGGGTTTAGCACACAAAGTCAAAATTATTGGCGCCCTCGGGTGGATTGAATGAAATAGTATTATTTGTAAGGAACTTATTTTAAAATATATAGAGTACAAAAATACTCTTAAAATGGTAATATTTTACAAAAAATAATTATTTCCAGGATCTTAGGTCTGCGATATATATGAAACTATTTTCAAAGGACCTACCTCAAAGGTAACTCCACATCTAGGGCGTCATAAAATATCCTCATTAGCTGTGGACTCTCCTGCAAGGTTGGTGATATGCCCCGGACGCCCAGCTTGGCCAAACTCTTAACGCACAGATTTCCCAGTGTGTCCAAGTTTCCGTCAATGAACGCCTCGGCAAAAAGCTCGCGGTTCCGTTCACTGTACAGGTTCAAGGTCTGCGGCGAGGGCTTGAAGAGCTCATACGTAGCCAGAAGAATCGGATCAGTTGGAGCCCGAAATTTCTGTGCATAGTGCGGCTGCACAGCCTCCTCCTCATCGTCAAAGTCCATTTTGACAAGTTTTTTTTGAGTAAATTCTTGTATTTTGTTTGTAAGATTAAGGTCTTATTTTGAAGTTAGTTTCTGGAAGTCCTTGATGAGTCTACAATTTATTTACATAGTAAAAACATTTCATTTATTACGTTAATTTTAATAACTTGCAGAGTTGAAAATCTTTTTGCATCTTCTACAAATATGTTATTGATTTACATATATGAATAAAGAATACATAGTGTTGATTGGTAAGTAAATACTTTTATTGCGTAAATATTGAGGTATAAAAGGCTTTCGGTGTCATTTCCTCTTGTTAAACTTAATTCCGTATTATATTTTTTGTTAGTTTTGTTAAAAACGATATAAATGATTACTGTCCAATTACCCTCCGTTCCGTGCGTAACGGATAATTTGAGAAAACCTGCCAGGGATATTCCCCACTTAAGGCGCACTTTAAGCGTTTGCTAATATTTGCTGCTAATGTCTCACAAGCACTTGCCAAGCACTCGAAGCAAATTTAAATTAAGCTAACCTAATTGAGAAGCACGGAACAGTTTCTTTTTGTGGCCAGAACCGCTTCGTCCGCCCCGTCCACCCAATATTCAGCGCTTTGTTTTGATGGCGGAGCTGCCAGGGGCTTCACCTTGCCGGCTATTTTTCTACCTAATGAAATAAAAATAGATGTTGTTAGAGCTGCTCGCTGAGTGTGCTCGTCTTGTCCGGGTGCTTTTGTGCTCGGATCGGTGATGACCCCCAAGTCTGGGAAGAGGTTTCTATGGTACGTGTATATGCAGATGCTCTTACCTCTTGGATGTTGCACCGTGCCAAAACATACGACGTTCAGTTTGATTAGACCTATATTATTTATTTAATTTAATAATTTTGTATCTATGTGGGATATAAAAAACATCGAAGGTGTGAAGAAAGTGGTTTTTAATAATTTCGCTCGCCAATTAAAGGGGTAAGGAATGTAAACCACATAGGGGAGATTTAAATATGTTTACTTAAATGAAAAAGTGTATTAAACTCCATTAATATATTATGTTATAGTCAACGCTAAAATATTTTGCACATTTAATCTAATAGCAAATGCGAGATCAGAACCAATAATATGCATCATTAAATTCCTTTTTGGCAGCTATACTAATCAGTTCTGTCACTAAATTATTAGATAAAATCCAAGGACTGCCAAAATCGGAGGACATTTTCCACGGTGTGGACCTATGAAATTCCTGGCTTTGAGAATTTACCCTGGGTTGATTTTCTCTCCAGTGGAAGTGGAGCTCCTTGTCCCCAGCTCCCAGTACAAATTAAGTGCATGCCAGGACGAAATTCGCCTCTCAGCCCACTTCTCAGCACCGTCCCACATCTTTTGCCCTTTTCTGTAAACGACAACTGCATTGCTAAGTGGAAGTTCGACCATGACTTTTGCTTTCGCTTCGTCAATCACCTTTTTATCTGGAAGGACATTACCAAGCCAGCTCAACTCGGATTCGGTCTTACCAACTTGTCCTTCCTCGCATGTCCTTCCCGGTTTTATATATATGTGTGTGTTGGCGGGTGTGACAAAATTTATTACAACCTTTGGGAATTCTTTTAAGTAGTTGCTCGATTCAAAATAATTTTCCATTTATCACTGTGATAACAAAACAGTTTTCCCCCTAGCCACAAACCAGCGCGAGAGTGGCGAAATAACATCAGAAGCAGCGAACATTATGAGTGGGTGGGGTGGTAGTGGGGGTGGTGATGGTGGGCGGTAAAGAGTGCCAGTAGATGGCTGGAGTGGGCGGTGGAGGACATGGGGGCGTGGCAATGTCTTGGCCAAAATAAAGTGCTCTTTCGCAAATCTCGCTCCTGTTGTAGTCGTCCTGGGAGTTGAGTTCAGCTGAAACTCAAGACTGGCTGCGGTCGTTAGGGAGAGCGCCTTGCCGGACGGTCTCTAATGATAAATGCCGGGCAGCAGGTGATTTAAAATAATTTCGGTCAGCGCGTGAAAAGTATTTCTTGTTGCCGCTGTTGTTTTCAAATTTTTGAAATTTACGACGTGCCGTTCGTCTCGAGGCAGCAAAGTCCTGCCGGTAGCCTCCAGGCGAAAAGGCCAAAAAGTTGGCGCGATTGCTTTACAGACATGTTTGCAGCATTGGCCCAAGGGACGTTATAAACCGGAAATGGTGCTGCCTCGAAGAAAAAATGGAACTTTCAGTCGCGACACGACCGAGTTCCCCTTTCTCTGGTTGGCATGGATGCCACAAAAGAGTTTAGCCGAAACTTTGCTTTTGCATTTGCCGCATTCCCGGGCCGGGCTGGGGCTCTCTTTTCTAAGGATTTTTGGCTTGTTGACTTTACAAAGGCGATGTCAGAGGCAGAAGGACATGGGCGGGATGGACAGGGTCAGAAGCAGGTGAGTGTGCAGGCAGGCCATCGCCAGACGCCATGCATCTTTCATGGCTGCGGCTCGAAACTTTCATTTGTGTTCGAGCCAACTTTGATGAACAAGTCCAGCAATGCGGTGTGCACTGCGAAAAATCCGGGCTATTTTGTGTAACTATTTGGAGGATTTTTTACTTTTCTTTAATAACAAAGTAGTAAAATCATTTCTGTGGAAACCAAACTACAAAATATATAAGTTTTTAATGAGTTCATTCACGTTAATAAAGGGTTGTTAAAAAATCGATAGTGGACACCATCGATGTTTTTGGCAATCGATGGTGGTCACTATCGATACTATCGATAGTATCAACAATTAAAAAAAATAAACAAATTGTTAAAATAGAGGAACATTATGAAAAACAAATTATGGAAAATGTGTGGTTGACTCATAAAAATTAGGGGGAAAGAAACGGTCTAACTTTTACACCGTTTAAAGTGAAACAAAATTCGATGTTTCCTAAATATTATAACCATCGATAGTATCGATAGTGCTATCGATTTTTTTTACCAACCCTATTTAAAAGCTAGTAAATATACAGCAGTTTTATCGGAATGAATTTAGTCCCTTCGACTTCAGTGTAGCTCCACTTAACTTTGGAACAAACTGCAGCTGCAAGTGCGAGAATTATGTACTCGGCCCATTGAGCAGCGCGTGTTGCGTCATTAGGCACACAGGATCCACAGGAAGCGGGATCCTGAAGAGCATGGGGCAGAAACTGGACGGACCAGACGCAGTCCAGTGCATTTGCATAATTTACAAAGTTTCCAGGCATATTGGTCAAGTTTCTCACTTTGTTTTATATTTTTCGGAGACTTGCCGCTGCCTGTTTATTAAGTCATCAATTAAAGGGGAGCATAAGTTGCATTGATTTTTAATGGCCCGACTTCCCGGGAACTGGGCACGGTCCACTGTCCGTCTTCCACGGACCTGACCTCAAATATTTGATGAGGCTCAGGACTGCTGCCCTCGAAACGCTCCTTCATCGAGTGATGATATTGGTTTAGTGCTGCATTGAGTCGAGTGCTCGATAAATAGCTCTTGACTCGCAGATGTAAGTGATGCCTTGTTTACGCAGCTCCTTGTCGGCCAAAACTCTTCATTTGGGCCATATTTTGCCGTGTTTAACTAGCTTTCTATGCAGATTGGCACTGGGTTGGTCGGTTGGCCTATCGGTCTGCTGGGAGGCCCTTCGAAGCTCGCAGATCGAACCCTTCACATAAAATCTAACGACATCGGAGCCGTTCGATACTGGCTGTCGGCAGCATTTACATACTTTCGGCAGGAATTAAAATTCAGCCAAAAACAAAAGGACAAACGAAAAGAATCTATGGAAAATGGCAAAAGTTTAGCATAAACTTTTGGCGCTTTACATGCAAAACTTGCAATTGGCAGTGGCCGAAGCGAACATGTTTTCCATCCCGGGACTGGGACTGCTGCTGCAACAAAGTTTCCGTAAGCCGATAGGGTTCTTTGTTTTAACGACTTAGTTTGTGGTCGGTCGAGGCTTTTGCCGCTTCCCTGCGAAGCCGGCGAAGTTTCACCGAATCTCGCTTGTCACTTCAAATCCGATCTCTGACGAGGGCGCCCAAAGAAGTCCCCCATAGGGCCAATAGAAAGGTAACCCCGATTTGGGGTTTAGGATTCGAGCAAAAGTGCACATATTGCACATCGCCTTTGGAGAAATGAAATAAAAAGAAAAAAATTAAAAAATGATTTAAGTCTGATTATTATAGATTGTTTTTATTTAATAAATGACATTCCAATCAAAAGTGTAAGTCCCTCTTTTTTCCCGTTGACCGCAGACACCCTGAGTTCACTTCTTGTGGCCAAAATGGACCTGGCTGCATTTCCTATATCACCTGGCTAATGAGCGAACATGTTCCGCTTATACGGGTTTTGTGGTTTCAAGGAAATGCTATGTTGTAGTTAATTTCAAACGCTCCGCCCACATCCCACCTCCAAAGACAGGTGCCCATGTATATGCAAACAGAGTCACATGTGTCGCATCTTTTTTTCATCATCAAACCTGATGCAATATAATCTCCTTAGCCGCAACGCATTTGAAATGTCATGCTCGTTGTCCCCATTGCTGTTTTGTTCGGATTCCACTGATGAGGGTCGCAGGATAGCAGCTGACGCACAACGAGGACGCGGACGAGGACGAGGACACAGACGGCTCTGTGTTCACAGTTGCGGCCAAAATGATAGCTTTGGATTTGGCGATAAATATACAAAATGGTTCTAGAAATTAAAAGTAAAAAAAAAAATATTTAGAAGATGCTTATTAAGAAATTGTTTTTTTTTTAGTGGAACATGTGTATTATGCAATTTATAACTAATTTTATTTATTTGTAGATAACGATAATAAATATTTTCCACCTCGGCTGTTCGTTCAATTGCATTTGTGAGTGTGCGAAGGCGTGTGTTTGAGAGTAAGAGTGTGAGCGTAGTTGGTGCTTTCAATTAAAATTTCAACGTGCACGTAACAACTTTTATTGAAATTACGATTGCAGGCAGGTGCATACACAGTCGGAGAAATGGCGAGCCAATGGCGGAGAAAGGGGACAAAGCGAGTGGGTACGCACACACTCACACTCAA